ACAATGAGGTTTGATAGGAAACCAGTTGAACTAAGCAAGGATGCAACATAAACAAAGGTTTAGACAAGAGATTGTTACATTGAGCTAATAGAGAGGACCGTGACAGACACCAAAAAGACCAGGAAGGGCCACAGGCGCCATGGCACATGACCATAACATCCCAAGCGCCCCCTTTTATTGGGCTCTGACACATAATCGACAAGCTACACTCCCACTCCCACCTTCCAACTTTGCTCTTCCATGGGTCACCAGAAAAATAATCAAAATGTAAAAATGAGAGAGAGAAAACAAACAAACAAAGTGGACAAGTCGGCGCTTCTGCCTTAGGCAGCATGCCCTAGATAGACTTCTGCCTGGACCTTGTTCACCTTGAGGGATTATGCTCTGATCCCCATGTGCCAAAGTGTCATGATCCCAGGGAGCATTGGAAGTGCAGAAAGAAGGAAAGATGAAATGAGCGGAAATGGAAAGCTGCAGAACATAAGATGTACCCTCTCCCCAATGGATAAGCGCTGAGATCAATGGATCTACATACAGTCTTTTCTTGTAATTTTGGACTGGTCAGCTAACTTGCCAACAAACCAATGTACACACCTAGAAGCCAACCTCGAAGTTGGCCCTCAATGCCGTCATGAAGAGGAGGGAACTATGGGATGGTGCAGGGTTACCAATTATGCTGGCTGGGTTGCAAGAGCCAACTAATGGTCCCCAGGTATGTACAGCCATTCTTGGGCAGTGTCATATCTGTGCATACCCGATCCCGACCCGACTTCCGGACCTCCTCCTTCTCCACCTCCGGAGTCCTACCCTACCGCTGTCCGTTCCGATACTCACCTTCGGTCCTAGTAACACACCTCCTCGTACCTCCCATGCCACCTCCACTCCTCCTTCCCTCTCCTCCCCTATCTCTGTCCACTCCGATACTCACCTCGGACTGAACACCACCCCTTCCGCCACCCTCCTACTACTCCTCCTACTACTCCTCCGCTGTAGGAGAAATAATGGCCACACTATGGAAACCCATTATGGAAATATGCCAGATAAATCACAAAACCTCATACGACAAGTAGATATGAGAACATAGAAGGACCTGAATTTTAACAAATTTTACAAATTTTTACGAATTATTATGACTATACATGATAAATCAAAAGAAAGAAAAATAACAAAAATACTTCAAGCTTACCATCAACGAGATGGAATTCTCGGGGGAATTTATAGCAAATATTAAACCAAGAATTAGGACAATCGACCAAGATTTGACTATAAAAATAATCAGAGAACCTCCACGGAAACTACTTTCCCACGTCCGCACACATAGCAAGGATGGAAGTACCACGGAACAAAGATTCCTCAGGAACTAATGCAAAAGTCAAAGTCGTGTTTATAATAGGAAATGTAGATGTCCCCCAAACGGAACCAATGAGAGTAATTACAGGGGAAACTACCCATAAACGACGGAGATATGACTAAAACTCCTGCAAAACAAGGACAATGTCTAAAAAGCAAGCGCGAAGATTAACTAGTAACGACCGAGACAAGCTTGATAGCCCATTAGAAAGGAAGGGATCTACTCTTAATCCTCCCAAATTTTCATAATAAAAGGATCATGCGTTAATGAGAAATCCAATAACGGGAATAGCGACATCAAAAGTCCAAGCTCAGGGACAAGACGATGATTGCGTAGGATCCATAATTAAAACATACAACGAAATTTACACGGAAATTATGAAAAATAGGAAACTATAGTTATGCAAATTCTCAGCCCAAACGGTCCAGCCATTGTGAAGTTATACCCATGACGGGAATATAGGAATCCGCATCATGTGTAATGACACGTGAGGGTGGCGATGCGCAGGGAACTGGCCGTCGGAACCGAGATCCGCACTTCGGCAGATCGCGAAGACCAATTTCCGTCCAAATAAGGAAGAGCCCGGTCAAAACAAAGCACAGAAAGTGCAAAACAACCTTAGATCATGAGGGAAAAATCTGAAATAAATCACAGAAGCCCATATGAAAGAAATAAACACCCGCGCATATCATAAATCCCGAACAAATAAACGAAAACGGCTCCCACATACGAACGACGCACATGATTACCGAATGTGCGCGCGAATCCTTGCTAACTCAACGAATACCAGGAAATAGGACACAATATTAGTACCATTGGAAAGGTGGGAATAAATGAAAATTTATGATACTAAGAACGTGAGAAAACATCCAGAAATGAATGAGATACAAGGACATGAAGTTAGAAACCTGAAAATGCGCGGGAAAACAGCTTCAAGAGGTCCGGAGTCCTAAATAAAATAGATAAAAATATGATATCTTCAAGGACAACCTACTATAACAACCAACGATACATATGGAGGATTAGGATGTGATAATACAAAAGGAAATCAGGGAATATGAACAAAATTCACGAAAACCACTAAACTACGACGGACCATGGCGGGAATTTTAGGGAACGATATTCTAATGAGGTGGAGAGCTATAACACATTCGTTTGAGTAATTCTTGACTACTAGCAACTTTTTCTTTCAGTTCAAACCTGAATAATTCACTCATTTACCATTTCAGTCTCATTTTAACTAAATGTCACTAAATAAAAATGGAATAGATCAGCTGAAGGTCTCAGCACAGCCATACGCATAGTAATGCGAAGTTTGAATTCAGAGTCATCAAGTCATAGCAAATTTAATGGTATATATATAGAATTTGAAATAGGTAACTGCGGCAAATGCAGTGCAGCCAAGTTCTAATTAACCATTAAAATAGCTTAGGCGAGGGAGGACAATAAGAATTCTAGGCGCAGTCTGACTGCAGTAGAACCGCAGTTCAGCGCAGCAAAAGCACAGTAGAACTATAGCATGAAAATTTCATTTTTATTCAGTTTGAGAAAAATACACTGTAAATAAATCCTGTAAATAGAAGGTAGAGCGTGAAAAAGGAAGGCGACCCAAGGAGTATAAAAGGGAGACCCTTTCTGCCACTTTTCGCCCCCCTTAGAGAAGTAAGAAAATAGAGTATTATTTTTCTCAAGCATTTCTGGTTGTCACTCCAGTGCGAAAAAGTGATATACAGTTAAGATTGCCACTGTAGTAAAAGGCAGCAATTAAGGAGAGAAATATTAAGTAGATATTTCAAGAGGAGAGCTGGTTAACACTCCAGATTTCAAAGTGTAAACACAAAACAGTTATTTTGCTACTGTTAAAACAAGCGATAAAATAAGACAAAAATAAAACGAACTCAAGGGACACTCCAGACACCATCCAAATTCATTAACTGAATAGAATCTTTGAAACTTCACCAAGTAGAAGATTAAATTCAAGTTTAAATCCAAATTAAACAACGCTACACAGAATTACACCTAGACAAATTAATAAATTTCAATAAAGAAACAGCTCCGCAGGGCTCGGTTTATCTGTAAGTCAATTCCCAGGAACTTTAAAACTAACCCATAAAAATAGAATTAGCCAAAACACTCGGATTGGTACTATATTTACAATAAATAACACTAGTACACTTCCCCATCCTAACTAAAGAACCAGGGAACAGTTTGGTGGTGGTCTCATTTGAACCTCCCAACTGACTTTCCTTTGTTCTCTCCTTCACCGCACCCAGCTGTTGCACTTCCTGCATGCACCCTGTGCCGGACGCTCAGTGCGGCCGGATGGCCTGGACCTTGGGTCTCGGGTCTCATGTGACTTCCGGATATCTCCGGAAGTTTTCAATCTATTGTGGCCACTGTGGGAAGATGAGAAGTTAACTTCCTTCTCATCTTTGACCCACAGTAGGCAAGTTGTATATACTTGCCTCTCTTCTATATACCATCTCTGACCCACAGTAGGATTGTGCCTTGGATTGGGCTAGCCAGACTTGAGGCTGTGGGCCATAGGGGAGGGTCATGGGGACCCAGGAGTCGTCCCCGGACAGTGTGCTTCATCCACCCATACAGACAGAAACTGGTGCTTGTGGATATGGGCAGAAGATGTGGGCCTGGCAGTAGATGGCACAGGAATCCAGGGAGACTGCTTGGAACTCCCTGCCTTCAAACCTTTATCCTGACTGGTGTAAATGCGGTGATCCGAACCAACTGCCTAAAGTAGAGGAAATTAGCGATCATACATTCCGTATCATGACATGGCCAATCACCTCGTTTGAAGCCAGAATAATGATGTGGTGCAATTCTCCGGACTTTTTGAACAAGGAACTCTCATAAGGCCCATTTGGGGCCCAAAATTCGTTCCTTGCTTGTTTTCCCTCTGCATACACCAGTACATCTGCACTTGCAGGCTTCAGCCAGCAAGTAAGAGAATGCTTCCATTGCGGCACCAATGTGTTGGGAACGATGATGAGATGAGGCCAGTTTGGAACTTTGGAATGGCCAGAAAGATATGGCTGATCACCTGTGCCCAGTGACTTGGTTAGATGAAGTGCCTCTCACAACAAAGGAAGGCCATACTGTTAGAATCGGGTGGACTCGGACGACTCCGGAATGGAATCGGAGACTTAGCGTGGAAGGACCTCGGCCTCAGCGACTCAGGCAGAGCGCTGTGCCATTGCTGGTTGTCCTAGGGGTCCCTAATTTCGGATCTAGCAGAGGGAAAGTCTCTTGGGGGGAATTCATGTCGATTTCGGACTGAGGTTACAAGTTACTATGTACATTGTATATAAGGAGGGGTCCGGAATCAAAAGGAGTGAGGGTAGGACTAAAGGAGATGGAAAGAGGAACAACACCGAGGGTCAAGGGTTTGACTCAATGGTGTTTCTCAAAGGAGGAATGAAGGGCCATGGCCCAAGGAGGAAGGAAGGAGGTTGGGAGTGGGGAATGGCTAGCTGACTGAATAGAAAGTAAGCAGCAGCCCAAATAGGAATGAGGGAGAATAGCGGAACTGAATGGAGCAATGCAATAGTTACAAGGTCCGACGTAAGTCCGGAAAGTCCGAACTCGGAAGTTAAACTCCGGAATATTGGCAAAGGCAATTAAATGGAATGAGCTAACCAATACAATGGGTATAAGCGGAGGTGGGGTCAAAGTCCGAGGTCGGAGCTAAGACCGGAGGTTCCGGAGACGGAGACGCGAACGGGATTCCGGAGCGGAGGTCCGGAGTCGGGAGCATAGGTTTTGCGTACTCGTCTGGAAGGTGTCGTGGTTGGGGTCGGACCCGGAATGTTCCGGAGTCGGACCGAAGGTGGTGTCCAGGCTGGAGGTGGGATAACCTCTTGGGAGTCGGCAAGGAGAAGGTGATGGAAGGGAAGTAGGGCTCCGGAAGTCGGAGTTCAGAGTTCCGGGAGCCCGGAGTGGAGGTCGGGATTGTATGGATATGACACATACCAAGAATGGGAGGGTCAGCTTTTTGTGCTTTTCTCCCATCGACAAGCCCAATGAGGAAAGAAATTGAAAGGATAACCTCTAGGGTCTTTCCCAGCCCCACCTCATCAATAATGGCCATTCCCTCTGGGCTAGAGCACATGGGATTGCATTCCCTTGTGAAAAAATGCTGTACAATGGCTGCTGCAGCCACTAGCTGGTGCCACATGGCCTCCTGGACATAAAACCCCTCTGGGAGTGTCCTGCCTTGCTTCAGCAGAGTGTAGGCATCTTCCCACTGCTCCTCAGTCCCTTTGGTCCATGCCATTGTGGACCCCAGAGATTCGATGTAAGGCCCATCTGAATGCCCCCAACCTGGCAACTAGAGTTCAAGACAAAATGAACCAGAACAGAACAGACAGGCTTACCTAGGCACTGGCGGAGCCAGGCATGGGTTTTATCCTTCCAAGCCTCAACACCAATATCGCCCAATCCGAGTGCATCCTCACCCAGCTCCTCCATATCCTCCTGGACCTCCGGAATCTCCAGCTTCTCAGTCAACTTAGACATGTGTCCGAGATGCTCCAGCCATCTGATTTCATTGATTGGATAGATTCCAGACTGTTCAATGACTTCATGTTGCTGAGCGTTAACTTTGAAAACCCTGGAAATGTCCAAATCAGAGCAGGAAAGCAACACCAGAATGGCAAAGGGGCGTACAATCTACCGCTTTTCCTTTTCCTGATTCAATGGAAGGCAATGGCTGGTCAAGCATCGCCTTTAGATGGTGGAGGTGGGCCTCAACTGTGTTCCGATGGGCAAGAACGATGGTGTTGTAAGCATGCTAGGGATGTAACCCAGCAGCAAACAAGAAAAGAAAAAAAGGGGGCAAAGAAAATCTTACTACCGGTAAGGCCGCACACAGTCCCGGTGCAAGTGCACGATACTAATAAACTCTTTTAAAACTCAGAACTCACCCTGGTCCTTCTTGGACAGTCATCAGGGAGTCAGACTAAGCTCTTTAAACGTGTGGAAGGGTCGCTCAACACCACAGTCTTTGTAGCACAGATGAGGGGTCCAACAACTGTAAGTACAACGCAAACTGGGTGTATATATAGAAAAAAAGAGAAATCAGAACAAAAAACAAGTAAAATAGCCGATGGATGGTGGCGATGGAAACAGGAAGAATGTTGAGAGTTCGGCTAAGAAACAATAAGGCAAGAAAATGTCCACAAGGTAACAATAAAATCAATAATTGAGGCCCATAAGGTCAATATCAGCCATCAATCTCGCTTCTCCACCGCATGCCCGTCATCCTAACTCCCGTCCCGTCCTTCCATCCTCTTCTCCTGATCCGTCGCTGTCCTTCAAGCCCAAAATCGTGTGAATTGGTGGAAAATTGGTGGAGATATGGGGGAAATGGTGGATATCCGTGAATTTTGGGGAAGTGGCAATATGAGTCTTGAGAAAAAAAGCATGAAAAAAATTGGAAAAAATGTGGAAATGTGCCGTGGGCATTGTGAATGTGTCGGAGGCTTGAGGGTGCTCGTTGGAGCCTCGAAAAACGTGGTTCTGGCCTTGTTTGTGTGGTATTTGCTGTGCCCTCCTACAGTGTCATTCTTGAACTGTTTGGAGATAGTGGCATATTTTGAGTATCCCATTTGAAGAGGGCCCATTGCTTCCTGGGCTGATCTATAATCATCATTCTGAAGGGCTTTTAGAGGGGTAAGTACTAGTGTCCATGACTGGAAGGGGAGAAAACATGCCAGTAAGAACGGTGTCCATCTCCTCTTTTGCCTTGTTAAAAGCCCTCATCTTGGTCTTAACCCTCTTGCGGCAATGGTTGTACCAGAAGATGTTTGAGACCAGCCACTGGATTCCCACCTGGAACTCCATCCAGATATCCAGTTGAGGGCCTTGTCTAAACACAGCCATCCCCAACATGACCTCAGCTGCAATCTGGCTGACCTCCAGCTCCAAGGTTGGCAGTAGTTGAATGGAGTCACAGCTCAGAAGATCTGGCTCTTCCATCAACACAGAGAAAGGATAGCAATCAGCTCTTTTGGTTTCCTCCACCAACAGATCCATGATGCTATTCTCTTTATACCATTTGACGGCAATGAGATTACAAAAGGCATTGCGACCACATGACATTCGACACCATGTCGAAGGTATATGGCAGGCATGAAACTTGGATTCCTCAACAACTAGGGATTCATTTGAAGGAGTTGACTCCATTTTTGAGACAGTAACTCGCTCAGAGCTTTCCCACAGCATCTCAGTGCATGTGCTTCAACAACATTGGCATTGACCCTCAAACACTCAACCCTCAATCCTCATTGTGCCCTCGCTTCTCCTTGTCATTACCACCATCAACTGGCTCCAGCGCCAAACTACCCAGAATTCGGTATCGCGCTACTGGGGAACCATAGGTTGAATGGGAGGATCGGGCACAGCAGTACGCCCCATTTCCACTCCCATAGCTAACCCATGCCCACAGCTACTGATTTCGCTCTCGCCATAGAATTCCATACAATGTGCGATCAACTTCGCACTGGAAGACTCAGTCAAACATGGGTGTTTAACTGATGTCCTTTGCGTGCTGGGGTCTCTACTGGTTGGTGCTCAGCACCATTGTCAGCTTGGGCTGGGGCGTCGTGCAACTTGTGTGCGGGCTTGGGCTCCTCATCGGAACCGGGACTTGAAGCTAGGGTTGGGAGGCCTTAGCTCTTTGGGCTTGGCTGGGGGTTGCTAGGCTGTGGAGGTTAAGCCTTTTGTGCCTGCACTCTCATGTTGTATACAACAGTTTGGGTTGGTGCTGCTATGGTAGGCACCGCCCATGGGCTCGGGATCGACGTTGGACAGCAACTCGATACTAAGGCCTCTTGGCCTTAGCTTGAACTTGGTGCACTCTGGTGCTGTGAGATTGGGTATGGTTGCGGCATTGTGCACTGCGCTTGGGGGACTTTAACATCAAGTATGACGTTACTGTCTAGCAATGTAGGTGCCATCTGGTGTCTCCAGCATGAACATTTGGGGAAAAGGGTTCGTATGTTGCGGTATTGAGGACTGACGACATGTCCAACTCAGGTAAAATCTGAGAAATTTCAAATGACAAAGGCATCTTGCACAACCTGTGTGGACCACCATGTTGGAATATCAATGCTCATTGACAACAGCCAAGCTGCAGCGAGGATTGGGGAGTTTTTACTTTAACTTAATATCATTGTGACTAACAACGACTATATCCTTTTTGTTTCAGAGTTGCAATACCATGCGCTCCCAATTTTTCCTTTGTCTTATATCATCAGTTGCCACTGGCAATCGCATTAAGCGATATTGGTGCCAGTCGTATAAGTTACGCTGGATGCCATAATTTTTCTCCCTCCCTCAGTTCTCCATTACAAGGCCGAGGTGATACCATTTCCCTCCTATCTGTGTTTGCACATAACTCATTGTATTTTTGTGTTACAGTTACACGTGATAGGCAAAATATCTTAATATATTAGTTCTCCATTACGAGACTGAGTTACACACGATAGCTCCTATTTGAGCTGCTCCTCCTGTACCCTGTGACCCACCAGGAGAGTAATGATCATATGCCCCTACACCCATCTGTTGGGATTTATGAGGGGGAATATGATGTGTTTTTCCTCTTTCTGGGTGCTTGCTTCTTTAGCTAGACACTTTCCTCTTGTACTCAGCGTGTAGATAGTCGATATGCAGTGTAGAATTGAGCTCAGATGGAAACGATTGTGTGGTTTCGCATGTGAGAATAAGCGTGCAAGTCGCATTCATCACTATTGCTGCCGCTGATGCCAAATGGACCCCTATGATCCGGCCCTTCTTTCCTCCAAATTCCAAGTATGGTCTCATATCCTGAATACTTACCACCCAAGCCACGGCCCTCCCATACCACTGGCCCCTTTGATTGCTCATTTGTTATTGTTATGTCATTTCACTGCTTATTCCTCTTGCATGTACAGTAGCCATGATGTATAAGATCCTCATATATATACAGGTGGTTTTACCCTACAATATGACAAGATAAAAGGACTATGTCATGGCTTATAGTGGGACCTTTTGACATGATTCTGGTCGCCACTCATGTAATTCTGGATAGCGCCAGTTGGGTATAAAACCCATATGAGGCTGTGCACACTCTTTTTTCTCTCGGGTGCAGGAATATGGATTGGGACAGTGGAAGGGTGGGCCTGCTCTTCCACTGTCTAGCAATCCCAGGCTCTCTAGCCTGCCTGTTAGAGATGAGGCGCGGATTCAGACGACTCCGGAGTGGAATTGGAGACTTAGCGTGGAAGGACCTTGGCCTCAGCGACTCAAGCGGAGCGCTGTGCCATTGCTGTTTGTCCATTTGGTCCTTAATTTCACAGTAGGCAAGCAGGAAGTCTCTAGGGGGCATTCAGGTCGATTTCGGACTGAACCCAAAATGAGTATGTACAAGTGCCAATATATATAATGGAGGGGGCAAAAGCACAAGGAAACAAAGGGGATCCGAATCGGAACGAAGATGTCTGAATGGGAACAAAGGGAAGACAGAAGCGGAGCAGTACCAAAGGTCATAAGACAGATCCTGTGATACGTCTGAAAGGAGGTAGGGAGGGCGAGGCCCAGAGGGGCAGGAGGATGAGGAGAAGTGGGGATGATGACTAACTGGCTAGAATGGGAAGAAGCAGCAGTCCAAATAGGGATGAGGGGAAAACATGAGAGATACATTACAAGCGGTGAAAGTGCCGAAGGTGATCTGCAAAGCTTGGAGGTTGCGGAGCTTATGGAGGCAGGGTTGAAAGTCTGAGGAATATTGGCAATGGTGTTTATGTAGTATGAGGTCACCAATGCGAATGGACTAAGACCGAGGTGGAGTCAAAGTCCGAGGTAGGGACTATGATGGAGGCTCGGAGCAAGGTATGTATGAGCGGTGCCTGAGTACGGAGTATGGGACAGTGGTGGAAGGTCGTAACTTGGCAGGAGGTTGGCAGAAGAGTACCAGAGGGAAGAGAGAGGAGAAAGGGAAGAGGGAAGGAGTGGTGGAAAGGTGAGTTGTCAGGTCCGAAGGTGAGTATCGGAGTGGACAGGAGATGCGTAGGAGGATGGTGGAAGAGTGGAGGTGTTGTGAGGGAGGAGCGGTGAAGGAGAGAACAAAGGAAAGTCAGTTGGGAGGTTCAAATGAGACCACCACCAAACTGTTCCCTGGTTCTTTAGTTAGGATGGGGAAGTGTACTAGTGTTATTTATTGTAAATATAGTACCAATCCGAGTGTTTTGGCTAATTCTATTTTTATGGGTTAGTTTTAAAGTTCCTGGGAATTGACTTACAGATAAACCGAGCCCTGCGGAGCTGTTTCTTTATTGAAATTTATTAATTTGTCTAGGTGTAATTCTGTGTAGCGTTGTTTAATTTGGATTTAAACTTGAATTTAATCTTCTACTTGGTGAAGTTTCAAAGATTCTATTCAGTTAATGAATTTGGATGGTGTCTGGAGTGTCCCTTGAGTTCGTTTTATTTTTGTCTTATTTTATCGCTTGTTTTAACAGTAGCAAAATAACTGTTTTGTGTTTACACTTTGAAATCTGGAGTGTTAACCAGCTCTCCTCTTGAAATATCTACTTAATATTTCTCTCCTTAATTGCTGCCTTTTACTACAGTGGCAATCTTAACTGTATATCACTTTTTCGCACTGGAGTGACAACCAGAAATGCTTGAGAAAAATAATACTCTATTTTCTTACTTCTCTAAGGGGGGCGAAAAGTGGCAGAAAGGGTCTCCCTTTTATACTCCTTGGGTCGCCTTCCTTTTTCACGCTCTACCTTCTATTTACAGGATTTATTTACAGTGTATTTTTCTCAAACTGAATAAAAATGAAATTTTCATGCTATAGTTCTACTGTGCTTTTGCTGCGCTGAACTGCGGTTCTACTGCAGTCAGACTGCGCCTAGAATTCTTATTGTCCTCCCTCGCCTAAGCTATTTTAATGGTTAATTAGAACTTGGCTGCACTGCATTTGCCGCAGTTACCTATTTCAAATTCTATATATATACCATTAAATTTGCTATGACTTGATGACTCTGAATTCAAACTTCGCATTACTATGCGTATGGCTGTGCTGAGACCTTCAGCTGATCTATTCCATTTTTATTTAGTGACATTTAGTTAAAATGAGACTGAAATGGTAAATGAGTGAATTATTCAGGTTTGAAACTGAAAGAAAAAGTTGCTAGTAGTCAAGAATTACTCAAACGAATGTGTTATAGCTCTCCACCTCATTAGAATATCGTTCCCTAAAATTCCCGCCATGGTCCGTCGTAGTTTAGTGGTTTTCGTGAATTTTGTTCATATTCCCTGATTTCCTTTTGTATTATCACATCCTAATCCTCCATATGTATCGTTGGTTGTTATAGTAGGTTGTCCTTGAAGATATCATATTTTTATCTATTTTATTTAGGACTCCGGACCTCTTGAAGCTGTTTTCCCGCGCATTTTCAGGTTTCTAACTTCATGTCCTTGTATCTCATTCATTTCTGGATGTTTTCTCACGTTCTTAGTATCATAAATTTTCATTTATTCCCACCTTTCCAATGGTACTAATATTGTGTCCTATTTCCTGGTATTCGTTGAGTTAGCAAGGATTCGCGCGCACATTCGGTAATCATGTGCGTCGTTCGTATGTGGGAGCCGTTTTCGTTTATTTGTTCGGGATTTATGATATGCGCGGGTGTTTATTTCTTTCATATGGGCTTCTGTGATTTATTTCAGATTTTTCCCTCATGATCTAAGGTTGTTTTGCACTTTCTGTGCTTTGTTTTGACCGGGCTCTTCCTTATTTGGACAGAAATTGGTCTTCACGATCTGCCGAAGTGCGGATCTCGGTTCCGACGGCCAGTTCCCTGCGCATCGCCACCCTCACGTGTCATTACACATGATGCGGATTCCTATATTCCCGTCATGGGTATAACTTCACAATGGCTGGACCGTTTGGGCTGAGAATTTGCATAACTATAGTTTCCTATTTTTCATAATTTCCGTGTAAATTTCGTTGTATGTTTTAATTATGGATCCTACGCAATCATCGTCTTGTCCCTGAGCTTGGACTTTTGATGTCGCTATTCCCGTTATTGGATTTCTCATTAACGCATGATCCTTTTATTATGAAAATTTGGGAGGATTAAGAGTAGATCCCTTCCTTTCTAATGGGCTATCAAGCTTGTCTCGGTCGTTACTAGTTAATCTTCGCGCTTGCTTTTTAGACATTGTCCTTGTTTTGCAGGAGTTTTAGTCATATCTCCGTCGTTTATGGGTAGTTTCCCCTGTAATTACTCTCATTGGTTCCGTTTGGGGGACATCTACATTTCCTATTATAAACACGACTTTGACTTTTGCATTAGTTCCTGAGGAATCTTTGTTCCGTGGTACTTCCATCCTTGCTACGTGTGTGGACGTGGGAAAGTAGTTTCCATGGAGGTTCTCTGATTATTTTTATAGTCAAATCTTGGTCGATTGTCCTAATTCTTGGTTTAATATTTGCTATAAATTCCCCCGAGAATTCCGTCTCGTTGATGGTAAGCTTGAAGTATTTTTGTTATTTTTCTTTCTTTCGATTTATCGTGTATAGTCATAATAATTCGTAAGAATTTGTAAAATTTGTTAAAATTCAGGTCCTTCTATGTTCTCATATCTACTTGTCGTATGAGGTTTTGTGATTTATCTGGCATATTTCCATAATGGGTTTCCATAGTGTGGCCATTATTTCTCCTACAGCGGGCACAGGTGCAGGTGTGAGTGCGGGTGTGGATGCGGGTATGGGCTAGGTCAGGGTGTATGCCCTGACACACACCTATATCAGAACAACATCTCCCCCCTACTTTCCATTGCCCGGTCTTGTGCTATGTTGGTCACACTCACTGCCACACCATTGTTCACTGGTCATAGGGATCTTCTATCCATCGGCCATCTTCTGAACTTCAAAGACCTCTGCTCAGGGGCTGTGATGGACAAGAATAAGGTCTTTTCCAGTAGCATTCAAAAGGCCCATGCTGCCCACCATAAAGCATTGGGTGACATGGAGGATCAAACTTCCACCACAGAGACCAATGAGCTCAGAAACCTGGTCAATGCACAACTGGAACCAGTTTCATGGTTGAAAGGCTGTTTTAAGAGTCATTTGATCCGACACACTGGGGAGTCTAGGGACTTTCAAGGAGAGCCGCTCATTGGGCTGTGTGCTCACAAGCGCTTGGTCATCAAGATCACCTTATCACCCAACAAGATGGGTTTGATCAAGCAAGCACACAAGGACTGCAAAGGCGAGGGAAGGTTGGTCACCCAAGCTGTGTGATGTATAATGTGTTATGTTAATGCTTCTGTTCAGAAGGGATGGTGCTCTTTTTGATCCTTGGGTGAGGCTGTGTGATTCTGCTGGATCTTTCCTACCTAACATGATATTTTTAGGCATTCTATTCTGGACCATGGCAAGAAAACATGTCTCCAGGACTAGACAAGAATTGTCAGTCGTTCAACCTGCAAGAGACTTTCAAGGAGAAGGGTGGAACCAAACTCAAGGCTCTTGTGACTCTCATCTCCTTTTTTGTCCAGTATGGGAACGAAGCAGACCCAATACTAGACTCCAAGGGGACATTGTGCAACGACACCTCTTTGTTGGCTTCCAATGGATCATCAGTTTTGGTCTATTGCAACTGGCTCTGACAAGTCGATCTCATCCAGTCTGCACTGAAGGTCAATGATATCAACTCAGAATCTGCGACCTCAGGTGATAGTGTCCATGTCCGAGATAAAACTCTTAACCATTTCAGTTCCAAGCAGGATTGCAGAGGCAACCCTTGCCATGTGTTGATCATTAGTGGTGTGGGTACAATGGGGCTGAACATCACAACAGCAAACGTTGTTATTTTCACTGTATGCTTCTTGGCTTCTGACCTTGACAATGGTTCTCTGATACTCACCCATAGGATCAACTTTGGAGCCCCCAAGATGAGCGTCAGGTCATAGGCTGTGTGCAACAGAAAGGGCAAACCAAGAAGGTCACAGTAGTCTGGCTGCTGGCAGATGGTACCACAGATACTTTACTGTATCAGTTTTCCCAGGGAAAGGCAAGGCAGAGTGTTACAAAAATGGGGCCGGAGGCGCCCATTTTCGTCCGTTCGAGGCACAGGAAAGGGGAAAGGTTGGGGAAGAGGGTTCATAAGAAGTTACAGATGTTGTTATAGATGTTGTAACATGGAGTTTAACAGATAGTTTAACAAATGGGTTTTCAATGGTAATAGTTCGATAAACTCTATTTATTTACATATCATGTGATTTGGGTGTGTGCAGGGCCCATAAGAGTCTAAATTGGGAAATTTCCCATTTCCATAACACAGAGTGAAACATGTGTTTCCAAAGCTAAAGGTACATCCCTATCGAGGTCTTCAGCCATTTTATACTGACATACTGCCCAGCATTTTTGGCATTGAACAATGATGAAGATAGTGATGGGGATACAAGTGACAGCGGCATTGACAATCGCTCTCCTTCCATTGTGCAAGTGAAAGGGAAAGGGACAAGCCACAAGAGGAAGAGAAGCAACGATGTTGCTGACAAAGGAAAGAAGCAGAAAACAAAGGGGGGTTTCAAGGGAAAAGAAGTTGCCGCCCCCCCCAGCGCTTTCCCCAATCCTCTACCGTCATCTTCAAAGGGAGAAGTCCCACTCCCTTTAGATGCTGGCAGAAGTAGCCCCATCAACGATGGCTCCCTGGATCTGTCTGGAGATGTGCCTCCAAGGTTCCCATCTTCCTCGTCAGCCACTGATTTCAACCACATTTTTGGTAACACCGATGCCACGATGTCAACATCTGTGACTGGTTTATCTCCCATTTCATCTGCCCCTAGCTCCCCTGGACTCTTTGCTTCAACCCTGCCTTCCTCAGGGTCCTCAAGCAACCAAGCGGAGGGTTCAAGACCTTCAAGTAATCCATATCATCGATGGAAACTTGAGATGGTGCCTTCTGACAGTGATGAAGATGGAGAAGAGTTGAACCCCAAACCCTACATCTCACTGACACAGCCAAATAGACCTCGACGACGTTGAAACTGGGCTAAACGTGCATGGCCACTTGGAGGGAATGGATGGTGGAGCAGTGGTGACTTTCGTGTTTATTTCTTGTTGTACACAATTGCATTTACATTTGTATGGCTTGGGCTTGGGTAAAGGGTATGGGTATACCCTAACCCACTGCCAAATATAAGCTTGATGCAGCCTACGATCTTGACAGCCAGAGGATTGAGGAGTCAACGAGGCCAGCACCCCAACCAGCCTTACACTGCTACTTGGATGGGCGTGGTTGCATTGAATTCCTGTATTTTTCCACTTCCACAATATATATGATTCATTTCTGTAAGCATGTGGTTAGGATCATGCTATTTGTACCTTATATACATAAACAATCTGAAACTTCATTGTACCATCACCATACTTGCTCATTTCTTGATGGTTTTCCTTCAGGTGACCGTCTTTATCAATTAATAATTCTCCTGACTGCTTCATCTTGTAATTCTTAAGCACCATATATTCTTGTTGACTTTATATATTTGGGTGCCCTACAACGTTGTGGTTGTGCTGTGACACATTGTGTGCCAGAAATTACTGTCACAGTCACTTGAACATTCAGAATGGAAGGCTTGCATCACCATCACTTTGAATGTAAAGGTGATTGTGGTCAATAGCCCAGCATGTATTGATGCTGCAAGGGCCATGTTTAGTGAAAGATGATTCCACCAACATAATCATGGGGATAACCTATCAAACCAACCATGGGGTGAACCCCATCATTTGCAGTGACTTCTATGGGTTCAAACCAGTTGTCCAGCATAGCACCTCGTCATACTGGCCTGTCAACGTTTCAAAAGACATGGAAGAGGAAGCGATGAGAAAGTGGACCTTTGATATATGGAAATGCAATGACAGACACTTGATGATGCTACGGAAACTATTGCTATCATTGCCCAAAAACAACCCACCTTGGAGTAATGTGCTTGTAACGCCTCGCCATGCAGTTCAAATGCAAGGGAACGATCAATCACTACAATGACATTGCCCGATATTTGTATTGTTTCCCCCTGCCTGCCTATCAGTCAGACTGGATTCTGAACGTTTTGTCTTAATGACTTACACACTTTCATGTACCCTAGCATAACATGTTAGGTAACTAGTTTCAATGCTATTAGTTCAACAACGTGCCCACTCTCTTCCTGTTATGAACTACTCAAGCTCTTATAGCTCCTTCGAAAGTGCCTTGATCAGACTTCGACCGAGTTTCAATCGCATCACAAGCTCCCTTTGATTCGCTTGTATCTGTATCTTGAACTCACTCCCAACTCATTCCAACTCATCACACTTACCCCAAACCCTCATTTCGAATGCCACCCAGCAAATGCCGAATCCCTATCAACTCCCCCGACTCTTTCTGCAGCCAATCCATTCCAGCGCTGCGAGCTGGCTTCAAATGCTCCCCACGCCCACCTCAAATGCCTACCAAAGACACATCAATGCTGCCCAACTTGCAGTTCACAATGACCTAGCAATGCAGGGGGAAAGTTTTACTCAAGTGCAGGTCTACCTGCCTCCCCACACTCGAGGAACATCACATAAATCAGCATGGGTGCAAGCTCACAAAATGTTACAGGGATGGGGGAAATTCCCCATTCCTCAATCCATTCTTATAGTGGGATGACAAGGGTCATGTCTAGTCTGTACCATAACGGGATATGTAATCGATGAGTGATCCCAGTCTTGCCTGGGAGCGGACGATCGAATTCCCATCGATCGCGATCGGTGATGTAGTGAGCTATTAAGGGATTGATGGTAGGTAGTCGGAGATGCCAGGACGGACGGGTCAGCCACGGGTACTTGGCACTCCTCAATGGAGTGTACTGTGTGCGAGGATGCGACTTGTGAGATGGGTGAGAACTTCGTATAGTTGCCATTGGGTACTTGGCATTCGCAGTGCGAACGTACCGGTAGCGGGTTGATATCATAAGCGTGCAATGAGGACTGACTAATAGGGCCTTCGGTGACTTGGTGTTCCCAAAGGGAACGTACCGTTGGTGGGGAAACATGATGACTGACGAAGGAGGGAACAGATGGTGGATGGGTGGCAACTTGGTGTTCGCATAGCGAACGTGCCGGCATCACAGGAAAGTGGGCCTCAGAGTATTCACGATCTCCATGATCGTGATGTGACATCGTATGTCGAGTACTGGGGGGAGAGCGGAGTGACGAGGACCCATAGGGTACAGGTTCCATAGGACGATACACATGTCGAGAGTCTTCAACTCGCGACCTCGAGTTCTCATGGCGAGGGCCATTAGAGGACTCGATATAACCAGACTTATAAGACATATTGAGAGTTGTACAATCACACAGTTCAGTTGAGTCACAGGGAGGGTTGTTACACAAGACAGTACACAAGACAGTTGTAGAGCAGTTGTTAGTTAGCGGGAACCGCCTTCGGCGGTTTCCGTACAAGACATGTGACTATCTACAAATGGTAAGGTTGCAGGAAATCCCACGAAACACAAGTAACCTCGGCCAGCACCAAAACCCCAATGGGGAAAGCTTTGCACGAGGGGGGAAAGGGGTAGAATGGGTAAGGAGGATAGGGTATCGGGATAGAGGACGGAAGGGAGAAAGAGGGGAGGAACGATAGAGAGGAGAAGTCTTTGACCATGCGATGGATATGGTCGTTGGAGACTCCGTATCCATAACACAAAAGCTTCATTGCTCAATATGAGGATGACCCATCATATCTGTTCATGTACAGCGATGGTTCGCAGTGTAAGCTGAATGGGGCGAGGAGATCGGGGTATGGTTTGGTTGGCTATTGCAGCCGTGAGGCAGTATTTGAGTCGAAGGGGCGAATGGAGAAGGGGGCACACCTGTTTGAAGCAGAAACCCAGGGGTTTCAGGTGGCAGCACAGAAAATCACAGGAGTATTTGAGGGGAACAATGCGACCCAGCGTCCAACGTGTTTACTCATATTCGGAGATGATATTGGCTCAATTGAACATCTCATGATGTCAAGGGACAACACTACTCAGAGGGATTTCCAACATATTTGGCCAACATACTGTTGTGCAACCAGCCCCTTGAAACCATCATCAGCTGGTGCCCAGCTCATTCTGGCATTATCAGGAGCGATCATGCAGACCAGCTAGCAAAGGAGGGTTCACTTGGACTTTAGTTCTTATTTGTATTCTTCATTATAAAGTCAATTCCATCAGGATGACAGACCGTGTGTAAATAATATTTGGATGACTCGTACAAATTTCCCGGTGACTCACAGTAGCATGTGATTTTATTTATCACCTCCTTTATTTCTAGTTTGACAAGTATATTGACAAGTACATCGACAAACATCATTAGCTCTTGCCGATTTGGGTTGAACAGGGTCTTCACTCGTTCAACTTTTCTCCATTATTTTGGAATCCACTATAACTTCTGGTGTCGAATTCAAGAAAGCATAACCAACAAAGTGAGATCGCAAAGTGATGTTCAGAGCCATTGGGGAGGAGGGAGATGAAGTGAGAAAGAGGTGGGTGGAGATCCTTTTGTATCACAACTCAGGACAACAGATGGAGAGAACGGTGTTGCATGAGACCGTAACCTGGGATCCGATAGGTGCTGAGGCAGATGGTACTTGAGCCAACACAGACAGGAAGAGTCCAAGACTGAACAGATGGAAGATGGGTGCGGTAGGTGTCCATGGACTGAGGGCAGCTGTGTCTGTGAGGGACATGAACGGTTAGGCATAACCTGGGTGAAAACCCATGCACCTGAGGCAGGACAAGTGGGGATAAGGAGACCGGAAAGGGACTGAACCTCGGATCCTGAGTGGATGATCATAGTCAGAAAGGACAGTACCACTATCGCGAACATTGTGCACAGCTCACCCATCGAGAGCATGGATGACCTGTATTGGGAATGGCCCAGTCAGGTTTGCAACAATTTGCTTCCTTATGGACATCAGAATGATGTCAAGCCGTCAAAGTCCATGCTAAAGCCAGCGAATGAGGAGTGCCAAAATGGTGGGAAAAAGTGAGAGGAGCCAATGAGAGAGCGAGAAAGGCAAGGCGACCAATCGGAGCGCTTTGATCATAACTCTCCCCAGCTTTTCTAACTGATACTAATAGTGCAGGTCCAGCCGGACGACTGTTTCTCGCCCCCTGATTGGCTCAAGCCTCGCTCTTTGAGGTTTTAACCTTAACCCCAAGTTGGGTCGGTTCCCATGTGCTCCTCTCATTGGCTCCCATTTCACCGGAATTGGGATTGACGTCCCCGACATTGCTCATTTGACATCCATTTGCACTTTGGCTGTGTTCCCAACTGCCAGGTTATACCACTGCGATGGCACTGTGATGGCACACACACTCCATGGGCCGGAACCATTCAATGTACAGAGTCTCACCAGTGCATTGAAGTGCGTTCTCACTCTCTCATTGGCTGGCTGCACTGTGAGCGACCACTTATGCAAGTGCCAGACCCCCCCTGGTCTTCATCTGTCAATCATTCTGTGGCTTTAGGGGGCACATTGGCTGCTTGATGTGACCTCGCATCAGAAGCAAATCTCGCCCCTCAACAATGACTCAGACAGCCGCCAGACTGCTGGTACATGGAATTTCTTTTATCATCGAGGTTCGCACTTCATCCTTCACTCAAGTTCGAATGACACAAACATACTAACTGTATCATTCAATCCAATGCACCGACCTGCGTTTATTACAATGCAATCTGATGGCTCATGTCATGAATTACAACATCATGATGCCATCCATGCTATCTGATCACTGAATACCCCACTGACACAATGCAACCTCCTGTGAATATGAACTTTGATATCACTGGAGTCGTTCCACGATCAATGATCAATTCTTCACAGTAACTAAATCCTTCAGTCCTCCTGCATGCTCTGCAACATCATTCTCTCTTTGCTCAAAACATGAATTTGCATTCGAATTTCCTGCTTCACCACCTCACTCTCAACCTGAAATATGGAGATAACCATGAAGTCTCTGCATGAACGTGCCAACACG